CAGATGTAAGAAACTATAGTCGTTCCCCCTTTCTTTGGGGGACATATTCTAAGACCCTCCCCTCCAGCGGATACCTGAAACTGTGGATTGTACTATATCCTACATATACTGTTTTTTTCTATACATATATATCTATGAGAAAGTTTTACTTATACATTAGGCACAATAAGAGATTCACAACAATAATTAATAATGAAAGAGAGCAATGATAAACAATATACTCTAATAAAAGTTATGTGAATGTGGTCTTTCTCTCCCCAGTAATTTTTCAGCCTAAACTTCATCCTGAATCTGTGTAACCTGCCCTCACTTACAACAGATGGTTTGGTGTCACTTGTTTCAGGGGTTCCTTACTGACATCTTCAGTGGGCTCAATATTTCCTGGCACAAAACAGCCATCAATGGGAACATGTTTTCTGTCCATGTCTTCCACCCACAAATTTGATGCCTTTTCCACCTCAACTAAGCACTTACCATACATTGTGACCAGGACTTTTGCAGTTGGAGGTGGAACAGCAAAACTAGTTCAAATTTCTTTTTCTTTCTTCACAATTTCACAAATAGAAAATTCACTCTTGGATCTTCTGGCCAAGATGGAGGCAGAGGTACACATGCTTCACTTCCTCACACAAAAGAATAGTAATAACCAATTTAAAAACAAAAAACAACCAGAAAATCTAACTGTATGGAAGTCTGACAACCAAGGAGTTAAAGAAGAAACATTCATCCAGGCTGGTAGGAGGGGTGTAGATGGGCAGCCAGGGTGGCAAGGACACATGACAAGACAGTGGCTAGTGGATTGTATATCCCACGTTTGTGTGTAGATAAGCCTGGAGGGACAACCGGGGAGCAAGATAGACTGCACACCCCAGGGTTCCAGCATGGGAAAACTAAAGCCTCAAAACCTCTGGCTGTAAAAATCTGTGGAGGAGACACTCTCAGTCTCACGGGAGAGTCTATTGGAGGGGCCCACAGGACCCTAGAACACACAAGCCCACGTACCTGGGAATCAGCACCTGAAAGGACACAATCTGCTTGTCGGAACTGGGAGAAGTAATTGAAAGCAGAGCAAGAGCTGAGCAAACAGCATCATTCCCTCTCTGACCACTCCCCAATATATATCACCACAATGCAGCAAAGTGGATTGTCCCACCCTGGAAAATACCTAACAAAGGCCCTTTCAACATAACAGGTGTGCTGAGACCACAAAATATGGCCCAAATGAAAAAACAGATCAAAACTCCAGAAAAAGAACTAAGCGACAAGGAGAGAGCCAACCTATCAGATGCAGAGTTCAAAACAGTGGTAATCAGGATGCTCGCAGAAATGATTGACTATGGCCGCAAAATAAAGGAAGAAGTGAAGGCAATGCAAAATGAAATAAAGCAAAATATGAAAAGAATAAAGAAACAAGAATTCAATAAAATGAGGAGAGACTTAGGAACCCCTGAGACAACTTTAAACGTTCCAACACCTTAATCAGAGGGGTGCCATAAGGGGAAGAGGCAGAGCAAGAAATTAAAAACATCTGAAAAAAGTAATGAAGGAAAACTTCCCCAATCTGGCAAAGGAAATAGACATGGAAGTCCAGGAAGCTCAGAAAGTCCCAAAGAAGTTGGATCCAAGGAGAAACACACCAAGACACATCATAATGAAATCACCCAGGATTAAAGATAAGGAGAGAATCTTAAAAGCAGCAAGAGAAAAGAAGACCTACAAAGGAGTTCCCATAAAACTTATCAGTTGATTTCTCAAAAGAAACCTTACAGGCAAGAAGGGGCTGGAAAGAAGTATACAAAGTCATGAGAAATGAGTACCTACAACTTGGATTACTCTGTCCAGTAAAGCTATCATTTAGCATGAAAGGGCAGATAAAGTGCTTCCCAGATAAGGTCAAGTTCGAGGAGTTCTTTATCACCAAGCCATTATTATATGAAATGTTAAAGGGACTTATCTAAGGAAAAGAAGAAGATCAAAAACTATGAACATTAAAATGACAACAAACTCAAAACTATCAACAACTGAACCTAAAAAAACAATAAAAACAAAAACAAACTAAGCAACCAACTAGGACAGGAACAGAATCACAGAAATGGAGGTCACATGGAGGGTTATCAGCAAGGAGGGAGGGAGAAATAGGAGAAAAGTTACAGGGAATAAGAAGCATAATTGGTACACAAAAAAATAGGAGGAAGTTAAGGATAATATAGGAAATGGAGAAGCCAAAGAACTTACATGTTTGACCCATGGCTATGGACTAAGGGGGAGAGAATGCTAAAGGGAGGAGGAGGATAAAGGGGAGAAAAAAAAATGGGATAGCTGTAATAGCATAACCAGTAAAACAGACTACAAATGAAAGGAAGGAAATTCATTCTTATCACAGATCATAGCAGCCTCAGCGTAAGATTTTTTTCTTTCCTTAAGTCAAGAACTTTTATCTTTTCACTGAAATAAAGAACCTTTCTCCTCTTTTTTTGGTGTATCCAAATTGCCAGCATCATTAGTCTTGTGCTTTGGGGCTATAATTAAGTCAAATAAATGTGACTTGAATGCAAGTTATGGAGATACAAGAGATAACCAAACTGGCTACCAAGTGACTAAAGGGCAGGACAAAGCATGGCTCATGCCTAAGGCGGGATGGAGCTGGGCAGCTCAGAGATTTAATCACACTAAGAATGACAAGCAATTTAAAACTTCTAAACTGTTTATTTCTGAAATTTTTCATTTAATATTTTCGGACCACAGTTGATATTTAAACTGGAGATAAGGGAGGGCCACTGTAAACATCTTGGTTAGGAAAACATTATAAAACTGATTTTAAATGTAATTGAAAACATGATTTAATACCCACCAGAGACATCCTGAGAAGCTGCATTCTTATCTTTTTTTTCTACACAGGTCCAAGATTTTATGTTCTTTCTTTGAAAGTTTTTTTTTCTAGAAGGTACCACTTGATAGCAAATGATTTTTTTCTTTGCTCATTAAGATGGTTATTCAAGACACTTAAATCAGCCTTACATTTTTTTCATGTGGTTATCAACATGAAACATTCCCCTTGAAAAAGACATGGTGACCTAAACTTTGCTTCCCTTTTCAGTCTAGATTTCCTCCCCTTTCTCCTTATCCTGTTCTTGAAAGGATTTTTTTTTAGAATTAACAGTTCTCAGTAAATCAGTTAAAATATTAATTGGAAGATGAGCCTCTTTTTAGATGAAATTTTTTGAAAATATATCATCTCCAAGCAATTCTCTGATACCCCTGTATCTGCATAACTTTAATTAAATGTCAAGGGCAATTATGCTCTCTCGAGCAATTATATAATCTAAAGTGTATATGACAGCTGCAAGCAATAAGTATTTGAAATATGTATGACCAGTTTTTTTTTAATTAACCATATTACAGTAGTCCCCCCCTTATCCATCATTTTACTTTCTGCGGCTTCAGTTACCTGCAGTCAACCCTGGTCTGAAAGTATCTATGCCATGCCCTTCACATAGGCATTGTATCATCTCACATCATCCTGAGAAGAGGGTGAGTAGAGTACAAGATATTTTGGGAAAGAGACCACATTCCCATAACTCTTATTACAAAATTATGTATTGTTATAATTGTTCCATTTTATTATTAGTTAATGTTGTTAATCTCTTCCTGTGCCTAATTTATAAATTAAACTTTATTATAGGTATGCATGTAAAACACAGCGTATTTAGAGTTTGGCACTACCCTGGGTTTCAGGCATCTAATGGGAGTCGCCCCTCATTTCCTGCAGATAAGATGGGCGGACCACTGTATTTATTTTGTGTCACTGTATCAAATTTTAGTAATTCAAGTAAAATTCTCCCGTACCTTAACCCGTTCCCTCATTTGTAATTGTAATATCATAGAAATCATATATGGTATTGTTTTTTGATCAGCAAAATGAAATGAAGAGAATGTTGGCTGTAAAAGAAGCCAAGGTTTCATTTATAAAATAGGAAATTCAGTAAACACATTGCCCTGTGTGCTGTAGCTAAATAAAGTTACTGCTCAAGAACAAAATTAATTGACACCATAAAATTTCAGACAAAAATAGAGCTTCTGAACATACACTGATATTTAACTAAAATTGTTCCAGCATATAAAAAGTATAAACCATTATCTTCTCTTTCCCCTAAAAAAAGTTTTCATTTTGCAATGATCATAAACCACACTTTGGTTCACAGAGATGGAAAACATCTACAGTAATTTTAACAAAGCCTTTGTTTCATAAGCACATCATTCACAGATGGTAGATTGTACTTGGTTCAGGAGGGGAAAAGTAAAGTTTCTAATCTTTATATTAATTGTTTTATGAGTTTATGTTCATAAGCTGATGTTTTCCTCAACTTCTTTCCAGGTTTCATTTTGTAAATCCCCCATATACTTTCCCCTTCAGGGGAAAAAAATAATTCACCTTGTCAAAATGGCATAAAAACATTTCTATATCCCAACTTGCAGATATAAAATGTCAATATGAAATTCATGTTTTTTGCTTTTTCTTATTTTCTAGTATTGTCATTTTATTTTTGAAATCTAATTGAGGGACTATGAACTCTACCAACCAAATGTTTGCCATCAATCCTGGAATAGATTTTTAAGAGTGTCTACTCATTTTTGTTCATCATAATTGGAATATTTGTGTACTTAGACTTTAATCTACTTTGGGAAAGCAAAACGATGTACAAATTCCTAGCACAGAAGCTACAAGAGGTTGATGGGCCTTTAACTTTCTAAGCAGTTTATAGAGTCAGTTTATGATGCACGACTCTACCATCAGTGCTGAGGCTGTCTTCACAGTATGTTATTTTGGGGTGACATTTGTTATGCATCGTAGAGGCTGTGTTTTAAAATATGAATGAAGTTAGAAATAAAGAGGTCTCATTGATTGTGTACAAAATTGAAACATAAGGATGCCTGTGCTTCAATACATGTAATAACTTCTCAGATATGCTAATTTTATGTTGTTTTTGTGAAATCATCAGGGGGGAATTTTGACAGCTCTTTTGATGCAGAGAAGGGTGTTGGGACCATTGTCATTGCAAAACCTTTGGATGCAGAGCAGAGGTCCATTTATAATATGAGTGTGGAAGTCACCGATGGGACAAATGTTGCTGTCACTCAGGTAAGATGTTGATTTCTGACAACAAAGTCCTCTTTTCTTGAATTTACAAAGAGGAGAACATCTATATTATCTGAGTTAATACACTGTGATATTCTTCACCTCCTTATTTGTTAGCCACAGTAACTTAGAGCTAGAGAATACCTGAGTCCAAATTCTTTTTATAAACTATGATCAGATTAAGTGCTACAGCTAAGGTCACACAGCATTAATGAACAACAAGGACTAAGATCTATGTGCCCTGACTCCCATCTCCTATTTTAGCCTGTGTGCCAGTGGCTCTGTATCCTGGCCGCACTGTGAAATCTCCTGGTTGAGGCCACTGGGGACACTAAAAACCACTGCAGCCTGGGCCACATCCCCAGGGGTCCTGCAGGATTCTAACATGCAGCGAGAGTCAGAGACTGCTGCTTACACTCTGCTACGTGAGGGCTTATGAGAGGACATTGAAGCCAGGAGGAAGAGAAAATCTCTAGGTGAGACCAACATAGTGTTATAGATATCAATTTAAAGCAGGTTTACCTTAAATATGAGAAATCTTATAGATAGGTAGATAGATATCTTAATTGATGTTTTTAGAGAGAGGAAGAAGGGTAGAGAGAGAGAAAGCATCAATTTTTGTTCCACTTATTTACGCATCTGTTGGTTGACTCATGTCTGTGCCCTGAGCAGGGATTGAATGACCAGGGCTTGTTTTATATTTTAGCCTCAGAGATATAGGCAAATTACATGGTCACCCTACCTAAATCTCTCCTGTTTGAGAGTACCTCCAAAATATTGGGAAAGGACACCATGGTTGAGTTCCTGCAGGAATCAAAGAAAGGCCCAAGCCTAATATAAAATAACCCACTTTCTGTATTGCTAAATCTTTAGTGCTAATTCATTAAAATGGGAATTTCAGTTAAGCTTTTTAAATTAGTCATGTCTTAGCATATCCAACCTTAAGTTTTTAGCACCACCTAAAAACATGAGACATGTGAGTAAAATACAAATAAAGCATGGAACCATATTTAGTTCCATACTTTTCTTCAGGGTTTTAAAATAATTGAATTAAATGGTAATTCATTGTGCCCAGAATGTTATAGAAATACATTAAATATTTTTAGAATAAGTGAATGAGTGGCAGATACTGTATATTCAACAGGAACTTTATTGCAGGTATGCTGGATCCAAAGCACAAACGGATTCATGTTAACCAGAAAAAAAAAATTATCAATGAAATTTTATTTTGGAATTTCATTAGGACCCAATGAGGAATCATTTAACAGCATTTATTTTACAAATATTTTTTGAGTTCATACCATGTGCTAGGAGCTGTACTAGATGCCGGAGGTCACAGTGATTCAGAAGTTTAAAACCAGATGACTAATGTGCACCCCCTTTTAAAAGTTTGTATGGAAGCATATATTACAAAAATTTGAATGCACACATTGTTTGAGTCCCACTTTCATTGATTTTATTTCAGACTTATCTCTAGAACAGTAGGAAAGGAGTTAGAGAAATGGGGTGAACTTGGAGCTTCCTCTTAGCAAGGCCAAGCTAAGCAGATTAATAAAAGGGTATCAAGAGATTTTCTTGTCAAAAGCTTCCAAGCCACTCTGTGTCTCCACGGCCATGACCCTCTCAAGAAGTGAGAACAAACATAGCTTCCAAAGCATAAACTTGTATGTCATCATTAGTGCCATCAAAAAACCATTACCCTGTTGAGTCATGGTTTTTGATGGGCAGATGGGGTACGCGCTGGGCCTGGATACCCCACCAGCCTCTGCCAGTCCAGGCCTCTGCTCGCATCTGCCACAGCTCCTCTGGCAGCAGTGACGGCAGCTGTTCTCTGAATCAGTCAAAGCCCTCAGTGTCAAGGACATTTTACAAAAGGATGTCTGGGGAAAGAAAAGCATTCTAGGTTTCTTTTAGAAACCGCTAAAGCCTGCTCCAACCCATGACCCTAGTGACTCTACCATCAGATACCCTTCACCACATAACTAAATAAATGTCCTGTAGCCCCAAAACACCTGTTCAGTTTTCCTTTGGGAATGTTTCTCTAGCTTGTTCATTAGGAATCGTAAAACATGGTATGACACAAGTTTCAATCAGCCGTAAACAACAGGTGGGAGTTTACTTCACAAATGTCAAATAAATCTGAGCCTCGGGGATCTCTGTCTACGTGAAAACTCTTCCTTCATCTTCAGTTTTGCCTGTTGTCCCAACTCATAAGATTCTTGAGACTCACAGCTACAATATCTGGTGATGAATAAACATCCTTTTCCTTACTGAAATCCCCTTGCATGAAGTACAGGATGTAAAAAGTTATGTGGAATTCAAGTTATAGGATGAAGATGTACTAAATGGAAGAACAAAGCATCCCAACATATACAAAACCCACCTGGAAAAATGGACAAGAGCCTCCGCATAAAGTAGTTGATTTTATGAAGAACATTATTGTACTTTATATAATATTGCAGAGTATTTGACAGCATGCGTTTTATAGCAATAAATACATGTTCCAATCCCAACTCTGTACTTAGTAGCTGCATCCCCTCCAGCACGTGCAGGTCACTTAATTTCTCTGCACTATAGCCCTTGCACCTATAAAATGGGCACACTAATACCTGCATCATTAGAATTGCTGAGCATTACATGAATTTATATATACAGAGTATTAGTATGAGGTCTAAACATAGTAAGTTCTCACTAAATATTAGCTACTGCTGCTATTGTTACTGTCATCACAGTCTCTGTGAGTATTTGTATTACGGGGACTGTGTCCCAGGCTGTTGTGAGAAATGAATGAGAGACTGAGACATGCTCTGGGTAAAGGGATGATCCAGTGCTGCATCCCAGGCTTTTAATGGAGGACTGTTTTGGACACTTTCTGACTTGCCCTGGGATGGAAAGTGCAAAATGATCCCGCTGGGCATCCTCGGTGCAGATCAAACCAGGTAGAATTTGTCAAGGACTCTGAGCACAACAGAGGTATACTCATGGGCTTTTCCTAGTTCCTGATGCTTCCTCCCAGGATGGTCACTTTTGGTGGCTCTTTGACAGTCTTCTCTCTGCCTAAAACCAGCCAACATTGTTGAGTGCTCACTGTGTTCCAAAAATTATCCCACAGTTTTAAAAATGTATTCCCAATTTCTACATGTATAATGGCATGGAAGAGTAACAAATTTTTCATGACTGGGGCCAGAATAGCAGTGCTCTAGACCAGAAAGTTAATAATGTGGAGGGGAGAGATGTAAAACCAACACCCTGGTTCCAGCTATGTTCCTTCCCCTCGAGACCCATGCCTGACCTCCAAACCCTGCTGCTCCAGCAAGCCAAGGCAAATCAGGACCCAGTTGTGCAAACAAAGGAAACTCTTCAAGAGAGTTTGAAGTCCTGTGAGATCCTTGAAGGCCATGAAATTGTTTATGAATGTTGGTGTATATGTATCTCTTTATAGAGTGTAGATCATTAGTATTCATCTGGTGTTCAAATGGATATGTGGCCTAAAAACGGTTAAGATCAACTAACTCCTCAACACTTTTTCATTACTCAGAAACTTCAGCTGAAAATTTCAACATGCAACCACCCATGCTTCCTAGGAAACACACATACCTGAAGTGACTGTTGATTTTATAAAGCCTCACTGCTCTGGGGACCAGGCTGGCTGTTTCCATGGTGTTTCAGAGCACTGTTGATCTACATTAAGAAAGAGACTAAGCTTGTCTACTGAAGCCCTGGGTAGCAAACAAGATTTTAACTCCCTTCAAGACATTGAGAGGGGGTGGAGAGGGAGGGAAAGAGAAAAGGAAGGAAGGAGGGAAGAAAGGAAGGAAGGAGGGAAGAAAAGGAAGGAAGGAAGGAAGGAAAGTACCGCTCTTTAGCATTGTGGAACTGTCCCCCACTTTGATTTACAAGGTGCCCAGAGGTGAGCATGAGGGTCTAGCTTAGAAGGGAAGGGTGAAAGGGTTGACAGAGGTGGTCCAATTTGCTTAGGGGAAAGGTGCAGAATCATAAGAGCCCTAGTTGTTATAAGAGGGGAAAGGGAATATCCGGGTGGAACCAGACACCCAGAAAGAGAAGGAATAATGAGAAGCCAAGGAAGGTGAGATTACTGTTTAGACATATGGAGCACTCCACATCTCTTATAAGAGGGATTCTCTCACTGGTTGGTGTAGCTCAATGGATTGAGTTCCAGACTGCAAACCAAAGCGTTGCTGGTTCAATTCCCAGTCAGGGCACACACCTAGGCTGCAGGCCAGGTCCCCAGTAGGGGGTCCATGAGGGGCAACCACACATTGATGTCTGTCTCCCTTCCCCTCTCTCTAAAAATAAATAAATAAAATCTTGAAAAAGAAAGGAATTCGGCCTTAAAGTCCAGATTGTGGTCACTGTATACCATTTCCCATGGAAAGGAACCAGGATTTCTTATAGAAATAGCTGATTCCAGGTTTGGGGTGGGAGCCTGGGCATCTTTTCTGACAGAAAAGAAAAGACTAGTGGAATCATGTTAAAAGGTGAAAAGAGACAACTTAATCTGCCTTCCACTAATCAAAGATGGCATAATTTGAACATCTAAAAGATAATGATTATAATTGACTGAAACACATAAAATAGATGATTTTAAAAACCCAAGTGTTCGTATTATATTAAAAACAAACTCATTTAACTCTCCCAATTACTTTATGAAACAGGTATGATTTACAGTAGCCAAGAGTGTTCCCCCGCTGACTCCTCAAAGATGCCCATGCCCTAATCTTCAGAATTTGTGAATATGTTATGTTACATCACAAAAGGGATTTTGCAGATATAATTAAGGTTACTTTTAAGACAGAGTAGCCTGAATTATCCAGATGGGCCCAATCTAATCACATGAGCCCCTAAGCAGATGACTTTCTCCAGCTGAAGTCAGAAGAGATGCAGCTGCAGCAAAAGGGGCAGAGTTTCCAGCTGTGAGAGGATTTGAAACACCCCCACTAGCTTGAGTGTGGAAGGAGCAACATGACAAGGAACACAGGCAG